ACTCCCAACCAATTCCTATATTCAGCTCAAAGGAAGTACACACCATGCTCTTCAGCAAGCATAAAATATAGCCTGGTGTTTATTTATTAAGCATTAGCAAACATCAAACCAGTCAATGGGCAAAACAGATAAAAGGCAGGCAAAAATGGAGAGAAAGAGACATGAACAATGACCAAGAGTTTGCATAACCTATATATGTCTGTCTTCAGTTCCAAAGGACACAGAACTTTCCAGAGCCCCTGGAAACAGCCCTGTGAGTGTAGATAACAGCAGCAGAATAGAAATGGAAAGTAGGACTCCCACATGATTTGGTGTTGGGGAGGGACCTGCCCATCACCAGGAGAGCACTGGGTCCATGCTCCCAGCATCTCAGGGTGGCTCAGCAGAGTCCCCCTCCCCTCCTGTCACTACTTTAGTGACCACAAGGCAGCAAAGGTAGGCAGATGAGGATCAGTCACAAACCTCACAGTCAGTGGGAGATGGAAGTCCCAGTGCTGAGGATTAGTAGGCAGACATCGGTCCACCACAAAAGGCTTATTAGCCTCCACAAGGCTGTTGCAAAGATGAACTAACCTTTGTGGAGAAAGAAGGAATGCTGGTGAAGCTCAGAAGGGACCCAAACACCCAGGAAGTGAGGGAGCAGGTAGTTGTGCCAGAGAAGTCCAGAGCTAGACTACTGAATGTGGCACTTGAAAACCCAGGGGCAGGCCACCGGGCCTTGAAAACCCAGGGGCAGGCCACCGGGCCTTGAAAGTGAGGATCTATTGGCCCCAATAGACCCAGAGTGTAATGAGGCATTGCCAATCTGGTCCTAAGTGTCAGAAGGTCAGGCCTGGGTCAGGGCAGGAGGAAGCACTGCTGCGACCCATTTCTGTAGTGCCAGTCCCCTTTACAAGATGTGGGATGAACATACTGGGCCCCTTACCCAAGGCAGGTGGGATTCTGCATCATGAAGGAAGCAATTTGGTGGGTGGGGATGATGTATCCAACAAGTTTGGCTTGGCTTATCGTGGATTAGCATAATAACACAGTATCCCTCACAGAACTATATACAAACAACAAAAACCCCAAGACTCTGTTTTCTTTATTTGTGACCTGGGACTGCAAATGTAGAATTATTTGACAA